CCCTACGTGAAATGATCTTAGAGATTACATCCAGTGGTCTAAAATGCTTCTCATTTCTCTCCTAAGATGACTTTCTCATTTGAACATAAATCTATATATATATATATATATATATATATATACTAAATAATTTATGGGTCCCACTTCCAGGTGGGCCCTGGGCATACGCCTGACCTACCCCTATATCACGACTGGCCCTGCCAAAATGCTCCGATCATAATGGGAAACACTGCATTGACCGGGTAATGAATATGCGGCGGGGAATATCCTTTTTATTTTTATGGGTAACGGACGGTTACGGTTTATACATGTCCGCCCCATTACCTGTCCCGTTTAATTTTAGTTATATCTTTTATTACATTTTTTTCAATTATTTGTCCTGATCGTTCAATTGAAAAAATATGAGATTTTTCTCTTTTCAATTCATTGTGTCATTTGTGTGTATATTGATGCACTAATTACTACGTATTCATATAATATATGAGTTAAGTTCATAATAAATTTTAATAGTTTCGTTTGATTCTTATCATTTTTCCTGTTTAGTTATTTTTCAGTTCAAGTATTTTATGTTCAAGTTAATTTGGGCTGTCTTTTTTCTAGTCTTGTAAGATGCACGAAACCTTAAGTGAAATTTCACCTAAAGGTTCATTAATGGTAAATTAGTATGCACTAACAATTAATAAGAGTTACGGGAAATTGTTAAAAATATTAGCATCTTCTTCCTTTACCCAACATGTGAAATGCCGAGTATTATATATAAATGACATTAAAAGATCTAAATGATCTCCCAACTAATAACCGACGTTTATAATTTGAAACTTGTATTGTATATTTGTAATTATAAGTTTGATAATGAGCAATCCATAATTTTGATCAACTATATAATTAGTACTTAAATCATATTGGATTTTAAAAAAAAACTCTTTACAAAAACAGTCCAAATTGAAACATGATTTATATAGTTACATGTACACTATACAAAATACTACGGAGTAACTTACTCAATAGAGAGTAGAAATTTATGTACTAGTAATTGTTATGTAAAAATTGAAAGGCTAAAGGGTCAAAGAGACCCTTGAACTAACTTAAAGTATTCAATTAGCCCCTTGTATAGGAGGTTCAGCCCGTCCATCGTCAATTGGAGAGGTTCTCAGTATAATTTTTTTATGAAAATTTTTGAGCATCTTCTTCATTATGTCTAGTTAACCATATCAAATTTCAGCTAAAAATTAAATCGGGAAGGCAGTCAAATGATTTTCCGAAATGTACTCTGTTGTTTAACTACGCAGTTATCTTCAAAAAATCATTTGATTGCCTTCCCGGTTGAATTTTTAACTGAAATTTGGTATGAGTAAACTAGACTTAATGAAGAACATGCTCAAAAAATTTCATCAAAAAATTCTACCGGGAATCGCCTCAATTGACGACGGGCGGGCAGAACCTCCCATATAAGAGACTAATTGAACACTTTAAGTTAGTTCGAGCTTATGTGAAAAATATCTGCATGCGAGTAAAAAGTCTCGGTGAGAACTTTTGACCAGTTTGACTTATTTTTTGAAAGATGCTGTACTTGTATTTGAATAGGTAGAAGAATAAAAACTTCTAAATTTCCATCCAAAATTCACGATCGAACAATTATCCTGCCAGGTGAATTGCATACACATGGATCTGCTTCACATTCCGAGGTGGATCCAAATCCACAAATACTACGCATAATTTGTTCATCCAAGTCAAAATTAAACCAAAATTTTACAGTTGAAATGTATCATTGTACAGGAATATTATTCAACCAAGTAGTAAAAAAATAAAAAATAATCGCACATGCCCCTGTTAGAAGAATTAAAGTTACCCAGGTTCACCCTCTGCCTAGGTTATCAGATTTGGTTGGACTAAATTAGATTTTTTGGTCATGTTTGAAATTCTGCATTTATAATCCCTTCATTCAGGGTGTAGATGGCAATTGGAGCAAACAGGGCCCATCCTTTGTATTTTTTTTTATATACTTTCTCTCTCATTTAAAATTTGTAACCGACACGAAAAATAATAAAGTAAAATTATGTGGTTGAGACATATGCAGAAAAGAGAGAAACAACATGAACCATAAAATAATTCATTAAAGGGGAAAGTAGCAAAGTTTTTTGAGACATCCCAAAAAGGAAAGGTGACAAAGTTTTAAAGGACAGAGAGTATAACCCAAATAATAAAAAATGGGTTTCTAATTTCGACAAGGTTGCTGCCTTCCATTATATCTCTTAATATTTTTTGTAGGAGTGGGCACGGTCCGGTTCAATATTTGGCCGAACCCATACACGTAACGTTACTATTGAAATGATCCGGTTCTGTTCGGTTCGATCTTAGACCTAAACCCGTTCGGTACGGTCCATTTTCAAATGAGACAGTACCATACCATACCAATACCAAATAATGTTACCTTTTCCAAGTGTTTAAAGAAAAATTAAAGTTTAGGCATCCTCTAAAAATCCACATAATTTAACAATTTTCATACTACGTATTTCATACTACCTTTATTCCAAAAAGATTTGCAAAGTCAACCTTTGGTCAAACAGTTTCTTTTTATTCATTTGATTAGGATTTCACTTTTTAATTATATTCTAATTTGGCCTTTCAGAAAAATGTACTTCGTATATTCTAAATATGTAAATTTTAATTATTAAAAATTGTAGGGATTATTAATTATGATTAGGGAGGACTTAACATTAACATTGACAAAAAAATGTTGACTTTGCAAATCAATTTGGGACGGATGAGGTAATTAATAAATTTTAGATAAACTATAATAGTACAAATTTAAATATTTTAACCATACTTCGGTCCGGTACTGGTTCTCATTTTATGAGAACCCGTCATGGCATTGTTTGGAACCGGTTCGGGACAAAAGAATTTGAGATCCGTTTCAAACCCCGTTTATCGGTCCTGTACATACCGGTTCGGTTCAGTACCATGCCGGTTCGGTATTTTTGCCCACCCATATTTTTTGTGCTCAAGAATTCATTTGAATGCCTTCCCGATTGAATTGTTAGATGAAATTTGGTATGAGTAAACTAGATTTAATGAATAAGATGCTCAAAAAAATTCATCAAAAAATTCTACCAGAAACCGCCCCAAATGGCAACGACCGGATAGAGCCTCCTATATAAGGCTTTATTTGACCTTTTTATGTAAGTTCAAGGGCCTATTTGACCCTTTTCCCTATATTTATTTTGGTAAAACTTTCCCCAAGCTTTGATGTTCCTTAATACTTCCTTGTTTTGCAATAGTTGCAACATTGTATTTCTTAAACTATTCAAACACCTCATTGCGATTATGAATTTCTACTAATACATACGTTGTATAATCAAATTATTAGGTATGAAATATTATTAATTTCTATTAATGTGAATTTCCAAAATATAGCTTTTTTATAATTTTTACTAAAATGTAATTAAATATAATTAGAGTCAAAATTGTGTGTTGATAACGTGAAAGTTAAAATGTTATAATTAAAAAAAGATTGAGGTAATACTTCTTAATTTCTCACTCTTTTCACATCGGCTCACCACATACCATTGTCCTTAAATTAGTGCAGAAAAAGGAGTAAAGCAAAATGAAGATTATTAAGGAAAAAAAATTAAATAGAATTCGAGTGTGTTTTGAAAAATAACTTTGATATGTATTTAATATAATGGGGTTAATGGTGATAATTGTGATGCTATAGATATAATATTTTCAATATTTGATAATTAAATTATCATTTAATAGTGTTAATTATTATTTGAAATAGAAATAAGAACCTTTATATGAGATGTCCAAAATAGGAAAGTGAGAATCTTTGTAAGTGATGGATGGAGTATTATATATACTCTCTGTCTCATAAAATTCTTCTCACTTACTATTTTGAGATGTCCCGAAAAAATCTTTTTCCTTTTTAGAAATTTTATGTGGCTAACATTTTTCTTACTCAACCGACCAATACATAAATTTTCGCTTTATATTCATTAACATTTTTCTTACTGAATCACAACATAAATTTTCACTTTATAATCACTTTCTCAAACTCTGATCTAAGTCAAATCACAAAAATTTTCATGAAATAGAAGAAGTATGTATGTAAGAGTAACTTTTTGTTTCATACATACATATAATTACTCTCAAAAAGTGAAAATTACATACATGTAATTTGTAATTTTTAAATTATTAGTAATCTGTTTGAAATAAAATGAGAAAAACATTATATTCCAATTATTTTTTAACTGTCGCTTATGTTTTACATTTTTATCGGATATTTTTTGACAATACTTATTTTTTGCAGAGGCGGCCTTAGGGGGAGTTGGGCCAGGCAAGTGCCTTGGGCCTCACATTCCAAGAGGGCCTCAAAAAATAAAAATTACCTATTAGTATTGCCTATTAATCCCCAATTATATGTATAATAATAATAGAAATAATAAATTAGTTATCTGGATTCTGAAATCTCCATCTGGGCCGTGGATGTGGAGCGGTGGAGTCTAATTTACGCATACGGCTACAGGCCCCCAACTCTGAAATCTCCAAGTATCTGCCCTTCCGCCAAACTTCCGAATTCCGATTTGTCGACAACTTGAAGAAATCACCTGTTCTGAACTGCTGGCCTGCTGCTGCTCGAGTGCTGGGTCTGCTAGTCGCTGCCTTGCCGACTCCGTGAGTAAGGTAAGTTTGCTCAAATTGCTCTCTTATTTCTATAATTTCTATCCTTAGTAATGAAATACATGTGTTATAATCTGAAATTTCTAAAGCATAAAGCCATAAAGGAACTTGGGCTGTAAAGGGGCCAACCCACCGACCTAAAGTAAATTAAGTAATACGTAGTAAATGCTAAGATAAAGTGGCAGACAAGTAGTCTATTTGATAGTAAAGTAGTTATTTTGTTTAATTTGTCATTGTATTTAGAAGAATAAAAGTTTTACGTTTTTTGTTAATTAATTTGTGATTTTTGTTACTTTGTATTATCTATGAATATTGTCTTTAGGAGCGTCTTTAGTATGACGGGTAAGCGGAAATTTGAATCGGGGTCTACAAAAAGAAAGAATAGGTTGCGGAAAGATTTGGTTATACAGTCGTTTGCCGGCTCTATGGATCGATTTGTAAAGACAAATCCTTCTTCCTCAAATATTGTTGACAATGACAATACAATCCCTGTCTCTGAGAATGAGAATAATAGTGCAAATATTGGAGAGGAGAATGAGAATGTTAATGCTCATAGGGACAGTGTAATTGTTGATGAGGAAGAGATTGTAGGTGAAGTCACTATGCCCGAGATATTAGATGATTTCTTTGACCCGGGAAATTGGAAAGCACCCATATCTCAAAGCCAAATAGATTTGTTGGTAGAGAGAGGTCCTATAAGAATAAGTGGTCTTCAATATCCCGTTGATAGGAAAAGGAGTTTCAATGACAAACTCTATACTCGATGCTTGGGAAATGGGGAGAGATATGATAGACCATGGTTGGTTTACTCTTTGATAAAAGATAAAGTCTTTTGCTTTTGTTGTGTTTTATTCAAAAAAAGTGTGCTGCTAAACCCTCTAACAAGTGTGGGTCAAGGCTATAGTGATTGGCACAACATACATTGTAGACTTGTAGAGCATGAAAAGAGCTTTGATCATATCCTTAGCATGGAAGCATGGAGGGAAGCGGAAATGAGGTTAAAAAAAAAGGTAACAATTGATGCTTCCCGAGAAATAGCTATCAATAAAGAGAAGGAGTATTGGAGAGCTGTTTTAAAGAGGATTATGATTGTTGTCAAGACTCTTGCTACTTGCAACATAGCTTTCCGTGGCCATAAGGAGAAGCTTTCTGATGAAAATAATGGAAATTTCTTGAGCATTATTAACATGATTGCAGAGTTTGATCCTATAATGGAAGAGCATCTCAGGAGAATACGGAAGAAAGAGATCCGAAATCATTATCTTGGTCATAATATACAAAATGAGATGATACAACTTTTGTCAAATGAAGTAAAAAAAAAAAATCCTTCAAGTTGTTCGTAGTGCAAAGTACTTCTCTGTTATTCTTGATTGCACACCGGATGTTAGTCATGATGAGCAAATGACACTTGTGATTCGATGTATAGATGTGTCTACAAGCCCTATAAGAGTTGAGGAGTTTTTCATCACATTTGTTAAAGTCATTGAGACAACAGGTGAAGCCCTATTTGACGAACTTAAAAAATTGCTTGACACTCATGAACTTGACTTTAATAATGTAAGGGGACAAGGTTATGACAATGGCTCAAACATGAAGGGAGATAACAAAGGGGTACAAGCTAGGGTGTTACGAGAATATCCTAGAGCATTTTATACTCCTTGTGGTTGCCATTCTTTAAACCTCGCCCTTTGTGATATGGCTATGAGTTGTGTACAAGCAAAAACATTTTTTGGTGTGGTGCAACGCATCTATAAATTATTTTCAGGTATGATCGTAATTTTTTAACTTCATTTCAGTAGTTTTTATTACTTTTATTTTATTACTAATTAACTTTAACAATACTCTTTTTATAATTAAATATCTTTGAATTTAGGTTCAACCAAACGATGGGAGGTTCTGAAGATGTACCTTAAAGATGGTGATGGAAATGGTCTCACTCTTAAATCATGGTCAGATACACGTTGGGAAAGTCGTGTTGCTAGTGTTAGAGCTATAAGGTTTCAAGGGCCGCAGATACAACAAGCATTAGAGCACTTGACCAAATGTAGTAACGATCCTAGCACTGTGAGTGATGCAAAGTCCATATGTGAGTATGAAATGAACTTTGATTTCCTTGTTGCTATGGTAATCTGGTACGAGATACTCAACAAGGTAAACAAAGTTAGCAAAGTCCTCCAACAGAAAGATATGATCATCAGTTCAGCCATTACTCTCTTGAAAGGTCTGATTGCATATTTTAAAGATTATAGAGAAGATGGATTTGAGAAAGCCAAAGTTGAAGCTGAAAAATTGGCGATTGAATTAAATATTCAACCCCAATTTCGTGAAACACGAGTTCGTACCAAAAAGAGGTTTTTCGATGAAAATGCAATGGACGAACCGATAAAATCAGCAGAAAGTGCATTCAAGTTAACTTACTTCTTGTTTGTTGTTGATAATGCTATATCTTCACTTACTACTAGATTTGAGCAGTTTCAAAAATACGAGAATACATTTGGATTCTTGTATGACTTAAGTAAGTTGAAGGGACTTAGCGATGAGCAATTGATGAGTTGTTGTGACACGCTTGGCAATTTCTTGAAGCATGAGGACAATTGTGATATTGATGTAGTTGAGCTGTTTTCGGAACTACAGTTGCTTGGAAAATCTTTACCGGACTGCACAACAAAAGTGATTGAAGTGTTGGAGTACATAAAAGATATGCATATTTCTTTTCCAAATGCTTGGATTGCTTACAGGATTTTGTTGACCATTCCGGTGACAGTGGCTACTGCAGAAAGAAGCTTTTCAAAGTTGAAGCTTATAAAAAACTATCTACGATCAACCATGTCGGAAGATAGATTAAGTGGCTTAGCTATTTTATCGATTGAAAAAAAAGTATTAGCTACTCTTGATTGTAGTGATGTTATTACTGATTTTGCACTTCAAAAGGCAAGAAGAATAGGCCAATAGGGTGTTACATGTACAAGTTTGTGATGTATTTTGCATACATTTGTACTATTGCCTTTAAAACTTATCCTTTTGAATATTAAAAATATTATATCGTACACTTTGAATATGTTTCTTTCTATATGCTGTTTTTTTTTTTTTCAAATTTTTTATTCTTTTCGATATGATTTTGCGACGTAAGTATTTGTCTATCTAGCCGTCTAGGGCCTCCAAAATGCCGTAGCCGCCTCTGATTTTTTGTAGGGTATGGTATACGCAAAATTCATCATTATATTATTACGGAGTATTATTATAGAAATATACAAAGTATGATTCACATGAATTTTTTACAAAGTTTATAAGTTTATATCTTTGAATAATAACATTTGTTACTTTTTCAAAATTGTTTACACATACATCAGTCAAACGTTCGTACATTTGAGTATAAGAAAACAAGCTTCATAATTTTAATTTGAGTACTATTAGTGAGTAACCCATGTGTTGCAAGTAAGAGATTGTTCCTAAATAAGTGTTGGTCAAAAAATTAAACACTTTTTTTGTCATAAGAAATTAAACACTTAAAAAGTTAAAAATATGATATGTTATCTAGTACATATGTCTTTTCAGGTTATCGTTAAAGAAAACCAAAATTACATATCTATTGTTTTATATAGTAAGACTCAGTTATGATGAATTGCCTATTTGTCATTCTCTCATTGGCTAACAATTAAACAGAATAACTTTAGTTTTATGAAAAAATGCCTCACCAATAATTAATACGATAGTATATTCCATTAAATAAGACCAACTTTCACGCCTAAATAATAGGAAATCGTAACAGATACAGATGGAGCATGTGAATTGGTTCACGTACAACATGATATACATGCAAAAAATAGTAGGACTCTAATTTCAACATACAAAAATATTGTAGTACATGTAGGATCCTAGAATAAAATACTATAATATACTTATATACATATTGCGTTTCTCAAGCTCCTTTTCCAATATTGCCAAAAAAGCTCCTTATGCCCATCTTCTTCCTTCATGCTCCGGTGCTTGATCAATCGTGCAATAATTAATCACTCAATCAAATATCATATAAACAATCACATAAATCATAATCCAAAACCACCAAAAAATATGGTGGTTTCTGCTATCTCCATGAATGGTGCAATATGATTTCATCGAGCATATGAGCATATTTATTATCTATTGTTTTATATAGTAAAGTTGAGTTATAAAACAATGATGTGTCATTCTCTTATTGGTTAACAAATTTCTTTTATCAACATTATTATTAAAGAAAATCTATGCTTAATACTCGGAAGCGTATATGGTACCACCGGTTGTACGGTGCTCACCGTACAGCCGGTAGCATTTTTGTAATTTATTTGAAATTCGTGTCTTGTATTAAATGAGTATTAGACCACACATAGTGAGCACGTGACATATTTTGTTGAGCATTAGAAGCATAACATTGAGCATCATGATCTCTGCTTCATCTCTTTGAATTTACTTTCTTTTCCTTATTTTTTTCTTTATAAAAACTTATTAAATTATATCTATAATCAACTCTTATGAACTCCAGTATGTGAATTTAATGCAATATAATACTTTGGAAATATACATTGGTATGTCATATTACAAATGAGCATAACATGAATACCCGTTGAGCATACATAACTTATAAAATGAGAATTGATATGAAAATCATAAGTACTTTTAATTGAACATCAAGACATTTTTATTGAGCATCAACTTGAAAAGTATGACCAATGATTTTCATTATGCGATTGTGATGAGCATCGAGTCTGTTCTTTTTAAATGAGCATAAAATAACACCAAATGAGCATATGTAACTTACAAGATGAGTATCAAAAAAATTAAAAGTCCATTTGTGTATGCTCATTCATTTTGGCCTTATACTCATTTGAGTTTAACATTAGTATGGTACGTTTGAAATGAGTATAAAGAGGTACCAAATGAGCATACATAATTCACAAAATGAGTATAAAAAATTCAAAAGATCATTTGTGTATGCTCATTCATTTTCGGTTGTATACTCATTGGAGTTTTATGTGAAACTCATTTTTAATATGCTCGATATTCATTTGTGTATGTTCATTCTTTTTAAGCTTATACTCATTTGTGTTTAATATAAACTCATTTCAGATTCGTCAACAAGAAATATGAACTCAGTAGGCCTTCATCGGATGTCGAAACAAACACTGGCCTGGAGCTTGTTATTTATCGTACTTAAACAAAGTAAACCATGACTAACAATCGTCCTAGCAATTTCTTCATCTGATGTCTATCTGCAATTTCTATTGCAAAGGAGGCAACTAAATTAGGAACCCCAAATCCCTATCTCCTTATCTGTTTCAACCCCAAAGCCATAGTCATCGATTGACTCAATCCCAAAACTCCGAAGGTCTAGCAGGGAGAGGTGGCCGCCGGGGATCTAGCAGGTAGCAGCGATGGCCGGCGAAGCCTGGGACGAGCGACACGAGGACTCAAGCCTGCGTACAGAGGATACGAAGGTCTTCGATCTTAACCCTGCAAGTTGAATTTAATTTCAAAAATACCCGGCTGTACCGTGCTCACCGTACAGTCGGTTGTACGGTGTAATTTACGTTTAATACTCCTTATAAGGCAATTTTTTCGCAGTAGAAAAAGACGGAGTACTTTCTTATGCTTTGAGTTCAATTCTATCACTATTAAACTTCTTATTATGTAAATATGTAGTCATTAAAATTTGTTATCCCATTATGATCGTTTCTTTTTTTTGTAATGGCATCACTTATTCACTACTATTATTCAATACTATGTATAAGTTACTACTCCGTACTATTTTAACACTGTGAAAATATATATTAGTATAAGGATGTTTTTTTGAACTGTTTTCAATCCCAGACCGGACCAAACCAGACCATATCAGACCGGACCAAACCAAATCAGATCAGACTAGACTTCCATGCTTATAAAATATACAGAGACCGGACAGTTACCAGACCAAACCAGATCACACCAGACAAGATCAGCAAATTTCAGTCCAAAAGAAAACATCCTAAGTATTAAATATAACAATTAACAAATCTAATTTTCTTTAAATATCTAATTTTAGGTATTAAATAATTATCACAATCAAAACTAATTTTTAGTTTACAATTCTTTTAGCACGTACAATTTCTCTTAGTTATTTTCAATTAAAATCATTTCCAATGTATAAAAAAACATTTAAAAGGTGTTCATTATTTTGATTATAAATATCAATATTTTGAGAATTTCAACCCAAGAAATATAGTATTAGAAAAGTCATTTGGTAAACAAAAAACCTCAACAATGAGAGTTATCATACACGATTTTTCTTCTTCTTTTTTGAAAGAAATTCACTCATTTATTAATAATAATGAAAGTAAACAAAGACAAAGTAGAGCAATAGCTCAGAATAATCCTGGAATGAGACATAGAACTGACCAGGCCGAAAGGTCATGCCTGATCGCTAACTCCGCGCGATGACAGAATATTCTATCAACATCACTTGCTAGCTACTAAAAGAGAAATATAGAAAACTGAGGTTCAAAAGCTGAAAAGAAACAAAAGAATCACAAGTCCTGATTTTAATAGCCACCAGCAAGGGAGAAAGGTATGATCAGTCACCTCTAAGGGAGAAAAGGGGGCTCAGTCACCTCCAAAGGAAGCACCGGCTTCACACGATTTTTCTAATCCAATGAATCATAAGACTCATTTACACAGTAATATTCGAAAATAAAAGGCATCTAAATTAAGAGTTACATCTTCTGTCTCAAGTTGAGATTCAAAATTGAATTTTTTGGATCAAACAAATTCATTTTATTTACGTAATTAGAATATCAAATCTTAATTAAATATTAATTTGGATTTTTAACTTTATAAAGATTTTAATATAATTTTTGAATATGTAAAATCTAATCAATAGAATTGAATTAATTATTAATATAGAGGATATAAATTTAGTTTTTGGTATACAATCCTTTTAGCATGTACAACGTTCTTAAATATTGATTGTTTTTTACTCCCTGTTAATTAATTTCAATTAATTTTATTTTTTAATTATGTAATCATTAATATTGATTTATTAAAATTAAACATAAATAGAAACAAAAAGTTCACTTTTCTGATTGACAATTTTAGTTCGTGGGGAGCAAAATATTATAATAATTACTACGTCAAATGTAACGTCAAATTTTGTTAGTACTAGGTTTTAGAGCCCGTTTGGTATCACTGAAATCGGCTGAATCATCTGATTCTGTTAAATTTTATGAAGTTCTGGCTGAATAGCGATATTGGCTGATTCGGCTTATTTATGAAAAAGTTATATTTAAAAGGAAAAATTCACAACAATAATCCAAACTATTAGAGGTCTTCTAATATTAATCCCAAATATACGTAATTCTAAAATAATCTCAACTATACCATCAACCTTCCCAAATTAGTCCAGATTACCAGTGACTTGCTCAACAGGTAAAAATAATTAAAAAAAAAAACTGAACAGCCTGATTCTAATCTTCCCTGAACTATTCTTGCTTCGTCTCTTTGATTTTCTTCCCAGCCACCGCATAAGTAAAGCTCCTTCCACCTTCCATTTGGTTCTCAAATTTACACCTCAAATATGTAGTTAATTCTTTCAATTTTAGATTCAGAGTTTAATTTCGTCAATCCAACTCAAATGTGACACTATCCATCATTGTCGATGTTAAAACTTGAATGATGGACGACAGAAGACAGAGGCTGGACCTACTGGGATGAAGTGATGGATGGCTACGAAGAAAGTTGGCATGGATGGTGAACATGATTTTGATGAAGACGGACGCGGACAGTCGTCGTCAAAGGCCGCTAGGAAAGCCAGTCGGCCGTTGAAATTCTACAGCGACCTTGATTAAATTGTTACGATGGACTAAAGAAGGGCCGGCGTTTCTGATCTCTTAAATCCTGAAACATTCGTACGCCATACCAGGAAGATGAAGCAAAATGGGGGGAAGGAAAAACAAATACTCCGTAATAGAGATGGGGCTAAGAGTAGAACAAAAAACAACCAGAAAAGGAAACGTATCAGATGGGAGAATGAATAGAAAATTTGATTCTAGAAAATTTGATTCTAGCAGATGGGAGAA